TCATGGGTAGGGGAGTTTTTGGGTGATGGTGTTAGGGAAAGTGCCCTGTGAACTTTAGTGTCGGGAAAATCAAGGTGATCAATCCACGCCGAGCTAACTATCCACCATTCAGCACACATCTCATCTTCTATCGGCTCCAACTTCTATACGAGTCTATTATCCTGCTAACAAAATTATAAAATTATAAATAAACATAAATTATAATATAAATAAATATTTAAATAAGTTAGTAACCATACGTCGTCGATTCGTAAAAACTAGTTACCGTGATTCTTTTGTAAAGGCCTGAGTTTTGACCATGCAACAACCCGATGGATCACATTCTGTTGTCGGGTACCAAACAAACTGCTCACCAGAAAAGTCTCAAGAATCCATATATGAATGTTAGCAAGCAAATAAATAAAAAATAGTTAGAATGTTAACAAACAAAAATAAATAATAAAATTTCATCATATACTTACCTTAAAAACATATAAAAACCCCTGTAGGGTGTAGGTCAATTCTTGAGGTTGGTTTTCTTTCGGCTTGACTGGATGTATAAGCTTGTCAAGCTTATTGAATACAGTAAATAGCTGTTTGTACAATTGATCCCAAATTATCCTCCCACATGGATATCTGCCACATAAAAAATTAGTTAACAATTAAATTTCTAAAAATATTAGTAACAATAAGTAATTATAATCGGTAATTATAAAATAGACGACATTATACTTGTTGAATTCATCAAGGTTGGATAGCAAAGCGAAATACTCTTCTGTTACAAGTTGTTTAGCCAACCGTCCATTGAAACTCTTCTCTAATAGGTATAGAAGACATACACGGACTGCATCCTCGTCCGATAACTCATTAAGTGAATGTTTAAACACCTTCATAACATGGTTGAATTTGACCGAGACATTAGTCGGGACCATAGGAAAGGCATGGGAACGGAAGGCGACGTCGGATGCAGAAGCAGGAAAATAATCACCAAACCGGAAGCCGGTGCTGAGACAAAATTCTTTCTTCTCGAAAGACAGCTCGTAACCCCCAATCTCTGAAACCATTTCCTCTTCTTGGCTTAGAGGGTCGGTGACAACTTCGTGGCAAAAGACGTAATGTAGAAGCAAATGATCCCTATTTACATTAGGAATGTCTAACCACCTCCCAAAACATGTATTCCGAAACATAGTCTCGCATTTGGGTCTGTCTTTGAATGCCACAAGAAATTGTCCGCCGATTTTGGGTTTACACGAGAGTGTAATTGATGCATCAAAAACCATGTCGTGCTGCACAAATAAAAAAGGTGTTATCACTTCATTCTGAAATGGAAATGACCAATATTTTGAACCAGTTCCGGAGTAGTTGCAGACTTGTTCCTCATGTTCTAGACGAGTTCATCGTGTTCCGGAACAGTTCCTCGCGTTTCAGAGGCTTCCGAAATGAACTATTAAGATCTGGAACACGACATTTCGATGTAAATCAACAATACCTAAACATCTAAACTATTTTTCAGTTGGCCGTACAACAATGACATCTTTAATTGAAACTCCATAACGTTTTTCATTCCGGAGGTGTTCTACGAATTTCGGAATAGTAACAGTAGAATAATACACCTTAAACAAACAAGGAAACTATATAAAAAGAAATCGAAGAACGTACTCGTAAAATAACGGGGTCGTAGTGCTCGTCTTCCATGTTGGAGATGGGTGTCAGAGATCGAAGTTGTGTGTCGGAACGTCGGAATCTTAATGTGTCTTTCCGGAATGAAGTCGCCGCCTCCAATTATATTACGGATTTTGAAATTCAAAATCCCGATCCGGAACATATATGTTGATCCGGAGTAGGCATTCCGGATCCAATGAAATGGACCGGGCCACCCAAAAAATAATCCAAAATACGTTCCGAAACAACTCATTCCGAAATATATGGTTATTCTGCAAAAAAAAAATATAGGTTATATTTTTTAAAAACACCCGAAATAAGGGTTTAGGGTTTAGATTACTCAATTTCCCATTACTATAAGTAATAAGGACAAAAAAAGGGACAAATTTTGATCATTAACGAACAAAAAATCATCATATGGATAAAACCAACAAAACGTGTGAGCTTTTTATTTCTGAAGTCTGATAATAATTTGAACACAAGTATAAACATCAGTATCATGCCTTTATGATTAAAAAAACGTTTTACACATTTATACATAAATAAAACAGTTTTATTAATTAATTATACTTGTATAAACAATAGTGTGCAAGACAAGGTAATTATAATGTTGGCACTGTTACTGGAGCACATACGTTCTTTTTTTTTTTTTTTTTTTTTTATTCTTTTTTAATGTATGTAATTTAAAATATAACTAATAAACCAAAAAGAAGAATCATGATAAATATTTAAACGGAAATTTGCAAAAAAAATTCTTATATTTTAACGTTATTGACAAAAAAGTCATTTTTACTTTTTATTTCTATTATTATTATTTTTTTCAGTTTAACCATTAAAACCGAAATTGCTTGCAAAATAACAATTGTAACCGGTTAATGCTGGTTTTAAGGGTTAAATTGTTAAAAAAAAAAAAAAATCATAGATGACCTTTTCGTTAATAATATTAAAGTTTAATTACTTTTTTTTGGAGATTTTTTGATATACTAAATTTATTTGAATTATTAAAAAACTCAAAATAAAGATAATTTTTTTATTAAAAAACACAATAATGATAATTTATATATCATTTGTGATTCACTTTAATAAATATCATTATTACAATCATAAAGATATCATCCATATCTTATATAACTTAAGAGGATTTTGTTGATTTGTCGCAAGAAGCTACTTCATTGTTGAATTTGTGGGTCTTGCGTGTAAAACGTTACCATAAAACTATAACTTACCGACGATTCTTTCACAATCAAACGACACCTTAGAAAACAAAGGCTTATCAGAGGCAGTTGTTTTTAAATAGAGCTCCATTATACAAACTATGTGACCTAGAAACGCACTTCTAACGACAAATCAACAAAAGTCTGTTTTTATGTTCATTAATGTCTCATATTTGTCACATTTTTATATTTTAACATTTTATCAGGTTTTGCATCCTTTTAGCCGGTCACCATTGCCATAAAAGCCCTCATTTACATATCACTACCACCACACTCTGTCACCACTACCACATTTTGCCACCACCAACACCATCCTGACCACAAAACACCGATAGCACCTATTAGCATTATCTCTAACCCTCCATCACCATCGTTTGCCTACAATTCTTTCTCTTTACAACATGATAAAAAGCCCAAAGTGACAAAACTTACCTAAATGTGAGGCATTACTGAACACAAATTTGGAATTAGGATATAACCACACATTTTATTTAAATATGAGGGTTTTATGACAATAACCATAATATAAGAGCTACAATAGTTATAAAAACACATGCTAAATAAATTAATATGACTTTTGTTGAATTATCGTAAGGAGTGCATTTTTATGTCACATATATCATGAAGCTCTATTTAGAAATTATATTTAAATGATATTTTTTATGGTTGTAGTAATTATATTTATTATAGAGAATCACAAAAAAAAATCCTACAAATGATATATAAATTATAATTATTGTGTTTTTTAATAAAAAAAATTATTAGTTTTTTTAGTGAAAGGGACATAGATGGTATTTTTATTTTATGTCTTTTTAATAAATAAATATAAGTTTTATTCAAATAACTTTAGTATATATAAAAAAGAAAATCTCTAGAAAAGTCCTTAAACTTTAACTTTATTAACGAAAAAGTAATTTTTTTTTGTTTGCAATTTAACCCCTTAAACCGACACTAACCGAGTACAAGTGTTTACCGATTTCAATGGTTAAACTGCAAAGAAAGGTGGGTTTTTTGTCAATAGTAAACGAACCGAACGAACATGAACGATGACTTGTTTATGTTCGTTTGTTTTAAGTTAGCCAACAAACGAACAAACACGAACAGGTAAACGAACGAGTTTTCTTCTTCATGTTCGTTCGGTTAATAAATTAAATTTGTTAATGTTAGTTCGTTTATGTTCGTGAACATGTTAAACGAATATAAACAAACAAACATAAACGAACGAAGATAAACAAACATAATTGAACATAAACAAACATATAATATCATAATGTAATCAAACACAATTGAACATATGTGAACATAAAAGGAACTTAAATGAATGAACATAAACGAATGTTCGTGAACATAATTTGAACGAAGGGGTCCATTGTTTATGTTCATTCGTTTAACTAAATAAATGAAAACTTGTGTTCATGTCCGTTCATTTATTAAATAAACGAATATAAACGAACTTTCCACCGAAACGGTTCATGAACAGTTCGTTGAACGTTCGGTTCGTTTACAACTTTAGTCAATAGAGTCAAAATGTAATGACTTTTTTTTTATTTTTTTGCAGATTTCTCATATTTAAATTAATTAAATAATTTGTTTTGGATAAAATCAAATATTCTTTTATTTTTTATTTCTTCCCATTTTGTTATTCATTAGATCAACATAAATATCAAAACCAAACGAAAAAATTAAGAGAGAAAATTAATACACTTATTATTTCATATGAGTAGAAAGATGGTTATGAACAAAAGATAGAAAAATATATAATTTTTCTTTGTTTTATTGTATTAAAAACTAAAATCATTAATTTAATATATAACAAATTCTCAAATTCATATATTTATAAATTTGTTTTAGTAAAGAGGTTGCGGAATTGAGTTTATTAAATTTGATTTAGAAAAAATGGGCAATAATGTATAGAGAACAACAAAAATTTTGGGTTTGTCATAGTAACATACTACAAAATTTTGTTCGGGTTAACCCGAACTCTAAATAGAAAAAGCATAGAGAACAACAATAAACTCACAATAAAGAACAATGCAAAATTACAAAGAAACAAAATGCAAACTTGTACTAAAAAATTTGTAATATCTAGTATCTACCATTTCTTTAGTTTACTAACAAATTGTATATTCTTTAATCATCATAACAATTCCATTTGTTTCCTAGTGTACAAAGATAAATGGTATGGTGTATATGAATATGTCCTAAATGGAAACACTATTTGGAACCCCACGACCGGTAACACCGGGGCCAGACGTCGGAAGAAGAAGCTCGTATGGAGGTATCCCTGCCCCATTTCGGTTCTTTAAACGAACATCTTTATTTCTACTATTAATAATCCCTTCTATCTCCTCCATTTTAGCACCAAACCTCTCAAAAAAACCCCAAACCTCACCATCATGTAGCCAATGGTTCGAGAGATGGTGCACCTGACCCAAATACTCTTCATCAGGCGAGTGAGTCGACAACGTGTCTTGAACCGCCATCACTTTCGTGGCTTGAAGTTGAGTCGGTAAAGATGACAAAAAAGTAAACTGAGGGTTCATTAAGAAATGATCGTATTCGGGTCCTTCTTCAGGAATAAGCTTTCTCATAAGTGTAGGCCTGTTAGGCACGTACCCACCAAACGGGTACTGCCCGAAGTTGATTGCTGCGTGCTGACCAGAAGCTATCCAAATGATAGTGGTCAGCACACCAATCAAACTTTCTTTTGTATCAAGTTTGGGCCACCACGACTCGTTTCTTTTATCGTGGTGGCCCATGTTTATGATCTCACTCCACCACGTCTGAAGCTCTACATCAGACGTGATGGAGTCAGATCCAGGATAATAATGATACACAATACTTTCAACCAGTTCTTTTATAGCGGACCATATTAGAAGCCCGTCTGATGCATACGGGTAGTCTTCAATCACAAGTTTTACGCCATGTGGCGTTGTAGGGTCCTCGACCGCCATACCCCGGCGAATCAAATCGGCCGGTAATGCTTCCAAATCAAACCGCCATGAGCTCTTGTAGGCGGCTGAGCTCAGCTCCATGGCGAATTTTCCGGGGCTAAAACAAGCCTCGATTATCCCACCTCCATTGATTAAACTTTGTCTAGCAAGTGCGTTGATCTCCAAAGTGTATCTCATATGAGGGTGGAGAAGCTTGAACACAGGGTGCATCGAGCTAAGCTGCCTATGGGTTGCAATTATATAAGGCTCCATACACGCATGGGTCCTCAACCTGAAGAATAAAAAAAAAAGTTCACTTTTTAGTCAATATTCAGTAATTTGATGAATTTGGGTGTCTTGATTCAAGAAAATCTTGAAATTTCTAACCAGTGATTGACTAGCTGATGAATGCCAGCATCATTGGAGCAAACATGAGCCTTCGCTAGGTTCCATAGCCAGTGAGCTGTTGCGTCATGGCCTGGTCTGAATACACGCTTATTTGAAGAAGAAGAAGAAGAAGGTGTTGGTGGGAGTGAGAGCTCGATGGCTATAGGCCGTAGAACATTGGCTCGATTATAGAACAGAATGGTTCTAGAAGCATAAGCTTTTCTTCCTGGCAATTCGTTCATCTTTTCTATAAACGGTAGAAGCATGTCATGATAGTCGATTATGAACAATCTTTTCTCCCGGATGGCCTGTGTGTCATGACAAAAATCACACGCTTAGTTAATCAGAAATCTGGAGATGATGAACACAATATATACAACATCGATACCTCTTCAACACTCATTCCGTGGAGTTCTTCTGCTATTACTTCTTTAGCTAGTGCAGATTCAACTGGACCATAAGTTGATGCGTCGAGTTTGCTCAAAATCGGGAATTCCTGAAGAAAACCCGAAATTAATCTAATTTGATATTGATTCAAAGAAAGTTTTTTCGTGTTTCGGTTGTTTAGTACCTTCAATAGTTCGATGTTCACTGGATTAACCCCAGCCAATGTCTGTCGAGCAAACTCATCGTCACGCAACCATGCAAATCTATCCCCTGAATAGAACACAAAAAAAACTGTAAATCTTGTCGAAACACTAAATGTTAGATTAATCTGAATCTTTTGAATTATACATACGTCTCATGATGGCTGGAGTGTCGTATTTTAAGAATCTTTTACCAACGTTCATGACTTGATTGGTAAAGTTAACCAAGAACTGGTTGTGTTCTGCTTCTTTAAGGAAAACCCCATCGTTGTAAAGCTTATCGATCTCGGAGAAGCATTCAAAAGAGATGTCCGTATCCGATAGCTTAGCGGCGATAGACGGTAATAAGTTGTGCAAAAGGGCTTTCAGTTTTCCGGCAGAGAAGGTGTTCTGCTTGATCTCCTCAAAGGTTTCATCTCTAGGAACATAAACAGGATGTGGTTTCTCGATTCTAGACTCGGAATTCGGATCTATATCGAGTGATGATTAGCAAATTCGGATCATCGAGGAATGCTAGAGGTGATAAAAGACGAAAACCGAAGGTAAATCTACCTGATTTGGTTGGTGGTCGTCCAGTCCGGCACCGCCTAGGGTACGGCGTCTCTGGGACACCAAGAACCGGTCTGGCTAAGTCCGGTGACTTGTCGGGTCTACCCAAGTCGTTATACGTGGCGTAATCATAAATTCTATCATGTGGTTTCCTTTCGCCTTTTCCGTTGCCTCTGATGCTTCGTAGGTCTTCTCTACGGAGATCCTTAAGCCCCGGTGGGGTTTGTGATGGTAAGTAAGCCTGTTTCGACGGCAGAAATACTTAGGATCCTAACTGTTTTCCGGCGAAATTCAAAATCAATGTGATTCGTACCTGGTTTTTGAATATGATTCGGCTATCGGGGTTGGATTGCTGCGAATGAATCCAAGTTTTGGCTGGGAAGATGACCGGATCTTGGTTGACGCCATGGATGACAATATCTACTAAGTAGAACTCTCTTCGGAGTAAATTGGTGACTAGAACGGCTCCCGGACGACCGAAGTTGGCCGGAACGGCTATGTTCGACGTGAACTCCAGAACGTGAGGATGACTGGATGCACTCGGTAACCAACCCCTGGGACTAGACTCTGCATACTTGCCCGATTTTGTTACTGCAACAAGACGATGATACGTTTATATCATTTCTTTTTGCATTTTAATTTATCAAAGAAAAATAAATTTAACTTTACTACGGATTAATTTGTTTTCGAATAACCTTAAAATAAATTGGTTTCATTTATTTGGAGATCAAGCGATCGTATATTTAATTTCTCATTTTTACAGCAATAAATTATTCAACATTTTATTTTGCATATTTCATTTTCTTATCTCACTCCAAAGTGTTTTTTTAACAAATATTCCAAAATATCACCTGTTCAAAAAATGTCATTTGAAGAAGTCCAATTTGCTAAATGAACTGTCATTTTGTGATAATAATTTAGAATATGGTCATTGACGACAGAACCATACTTTTAATTATTTTAAGGATTAGACCTTATAGGTTTTTATAATTTCTGGTAATATAATGAGATTATATAATAAAACATGCAAGGTTGTTTTAGATGTGTTTTTAGAATGTCGAGATATTAAATAGTTAAAATTACGTTGTAATAAACATGATTTAAGAAAAGATAGACATGTTTTTGTTGTTTATCATTGTAATATATTGTCTTTTTTTATTGTGTCAAACGTTTAACAAATTATTACTATTTATAAAGTATTAGATAAGAGAAGACTGAATTAAAAATATATAGGTTAATTTTACTTTACAATTATAGATAATCAGTTTTGTTAATTTTACCATAAGGTTATAAAACTGTTTCCCTAGAAAACTTTCAGGCAAAAAAAAAATAGAAATATAATAATGAAGAAAAAAAGTAAATTATACTACATCAATGATGTAGTATATTAGTTCTATTAAAACGTAAAATAATATATTTTTGATAAATTTTTATTTTAAGAAATGTAATTTTTTGAATCGAACATATGTTACAAGTTAAGAATCAAATAAATATATAATATTGTTACACATTATCTCTATCTATCAACGATAACTATACACAAAGAGAATGCACTTTCAACTTTATTTCAAAAAATATATTTCTAGAGGCATCCTTTAAAAACATATAAGATAATTAATAATTAAATGAAAGACAGATCAAAAAAGTCAACATAATTAGAATATCAATTTCCAAAATAATATCTTCATAAAAAAAAAAAGTTATGGAATGCATGTTATATATATGCTTTCCAAATGATTAGTTTATTATCTACTTTTGATTTTGATTGCAAGTAAAACTGTAAAAGTAATTGAAAAAAGTGCTTACCTGGATCAATCTTTTCGCTAATGAGTTGAATCAAGACCCCACGGCCAATTCCGATCACGAATGACTCCCACTGGTCTTCAATCTTCTCTATCACTTTCTCCTTCATCTGTTTCTTTATTGTGATCGTAGCTTTCAGATCCATCATCCCTCCAACTCCATCAATGGCGGTCGTATCTTCTACTGTTACTGTACTACTCTTGCTTTCTTCCTTGCTCACCACTGCTCTGATCGTTGACCCTCGCACCCTACGGGTTTGGCTCCGGAGGTTTGACCTGAAACCATGAACCCACACTCGGTTTTTGCCCGGGATGTTGACGGTAGATTCTCGTGTGGCTGAGATTGCCGGTGATCGTCGGATAGAGGAGGTAGGTGGTTGAGATGTATACATTCTTCTGTAAGAAGAGTACGTGGTCTTTTTTTAGGAGTAAATGGGATTTAGGAATGCTTATATAGAAAAAGGTCAATGACCTTTTTTATCTTAAATGTAATAGAATGGTTCTTTTTTAATCATTTTTTTGTTGTTAGACGTTACTAAACATTTATCATTTATTGTATTCATACATTGGTTGGTGATTAACTTTTATGGTATAAAGTATAAAATGATGAAGTCTGATAACAAATTCAAATATATTAGAATATTATATTAATATTTAGAAAAATATTTATATTATGTAATAAATCGATAAAACCATATACTTTTGTTGTATACGTAAAAAAAACTTATTAAAAATGAGAAATATATTAAATTATGATTATGTGTGTTTTGGAATTGCTTTATTGATTTATTATGGTTTAATATCGATAATAAGGTATTTTAAGTGTTAAGATTTCATAAAAAATTATTGACTTAATAATGAGTTTTTAATAAGTTATTTTCTTCTTACTTGTTGATTTATTAAAGGAATATTGATATGTTATTTACGCACCATTTGCCAAACACTAATTTACCAATTTCTTATGTTTTAGTACCTAATAAACTAAACCAAATACAATTTTTAAATTACATTTTGACATGGGAAATAAATATTTTTACTAAAAAAACATAAGTTATTTTAAATAAACAATCCCAAAAAGCAACGCACCCATGATGTGTTAGGGATGTCAATGGAGGCAAACGGGACGGAAGTTGCATCCTCCGCCCCACCCCCGAAATCTCTATTCTTCCCTCCCTCGCCCCTGAACTCCTGGATTATCGTCCCCGCAATTGGTTGATCTTTTGTTGTCTTTTTTTAGTTAAAAGATGTTGTTTTTTGGGTTAAAAGAAACTATTTTTTGGGTAAAAAATAATTATTTATAGCGGAATTTGAAAAGCTAAAAACAAAAATGTTGTGACATCTCAAAAACATTATACTAACAACTTAAAAACATGATTTTTTTTACTGAATTTTGGCAGCTCAAAATCATGTTATTATTTTTTATATTTATATAATTAATATATATAATATATTAACGGGGCCCTCATATGGTTTCGGGACGAGACTGCCGACACCCACCCCCGCCCCCCGAAATAAAAACGGGGGTTAACTCAACCCCTGCCCCCGTTCCTGCCCCATATTCTTTTAATCAAATACCCTCGTACGAGATCGGGGTCCCACAAGACTTTTTGACATCCCTATAATATGATGTGAAATGTGAACTACATATTAAATTAAAGTTATGGACTAGATGTAGTTATGTAATATTATGGTTGCCTTTAACTGTAACATCCTAAAAACAGTGGTAAAATTTTCATTTTCCAAATACCCAAAAATACAACCAATTTGTCTCAAATCAACCATAGTATAAAATATTATCAACATCAGAGTAAAATCAAATGTCAATGTGGAATAAAATCAATGAGATGTTGTGCGATCACGTCGGACCCTTCCCTTTCGAACTGGAAGTACCTAAAAATGTTAAACCAAAAAACTATAAACACGAAGCTTAGTGAGTTCCCCAGAATATCACATACCATATAAATTGGCCCAACCCAACATATAAATAATAGGCCCAACCCATCATACGTAAATGGGTCCAGCCTAACATACAAATGGGCCTATCCCAACAGACAAATGAGCCCAACCCAACATAAATAATAATGGGCCCAACTCAGCATATAAATGGGTCCGACCTAACATAAATAAAATAATGGGCCCAGCCCAACATACAAATGGGCCCAACCTAACATATATATGCAAGAGTCACAAAGACAACTAGCACAATCCAATGGACCGACATTGGTGCCTTCGACCCATGAGTATAATGAGAAGAATCATCTCATTCTGAAGATAAACAATACGCACACCCGAATTGCCGATGTTGGAACTCCTCACACTAACCAAATTCATAATAAAACCCTAATCAGAATTTAGATAACCACCTCAGGGCCTTGGTTCATAGTTTTCTTACTTGGGTAAAAGACCATTTTACCCTTCCATGGCTAGAATCCACCCTACTTGAACTAAAACCCATTTTGTCCAAAAATCAACTTCTGGGGCTACGCGCGTACCATGCTCTACGCCCAACGTAGAGCCTTCGGATGGAAATGGGGAAAAATCAGGCTACGCTCTGCGTAGCCAAAATTACGCCCTGCATACTACTCTGTTTTGCCAACTTCATAATAAACTCTTAATACTTAAAGACTAAACGTCCAATTCCCAAATCCGTTCTTAAGGAACAACCTAAATGATAAAGTCTTTGACTGTATTCCATTGCATGGCTTAAAAGGGCACAATACCAAACCCTATGTTCATAAGACACTCCAATGCTCAAGAACTCATGCATGAAAGGATGGGAGTGACCAAGCTCCCATTTTTATCACTCTACAAGATCAAAAATGATAGGAAAAGACACTCATAAGGTCTAGAGTAGCTTCTACTCACTAAGACTATGGTTATGGGACAAAAGCACATATATATAAACCCAACAAGCTAACTAGATTTAACAAAGGAATCATCAAGGTTCAAGCTTTATACCTCATGGAGAATGTTGAAGAAGAACAAAGTTTAGATCTACAAGCTATGGACTCCTAAATATACCTTCAATGGCCTCCTTCTTCATTACACACAAAAGAATCACTCAAATGCTTCAAAATTCACACTAAGGGGCTAAGGTTTCAAGGTGAATGAATGGAGGGGTGGAGGTTGAGTATGGAGAGAGTCTCAAGGAGTTAAGGCCCTTAAAAAGGGTTCAAAACCCAATAATTAGGGTTTGAACTATGCGCACCTACGCCCTGCATAGATAGAGTTATGCCCTACGTAAGGCATAAAACCCTCGAATGGATTTAATGACTTATGCCCTGCGTAAGAAGACACCTATGCCCTGCATAGGACCAATTTCTCCAAAGTTAAAGTTTTATATTTAACAAAATAATAAAAGGACATACCTGAGGATACGTGTGTTACAAGTCTCCCCTATTTAAATCAGACTTCTCCCGCGAAGCTGCTGCAAATAACTGCGGGTAATGCTCTCTCATCTCCTCCTCAGGCTCCCACATCCACTCTGAACCCTTCCGGTGCTGCTATTTCTAGGGGTGTTCGTTTGGATGGATCAGTTTGATCCGATCCAATCAAGTGAATCCAAATTGATTTCGGTTTTCAAAACATAGATCCGAATAGTCCAAAATAAATGCATATCCGATCCGATCCGATCCAATTACAATTCGATTGGATCGGTTTTTATAATTTAGTTTTCAAAACATTTTAAAACGACATATAATTATAATATTACCTAATTTTACACAAGTAACAAAAACAAATTATTTAATTGTGATTTGAAATTTATAAACAACAACTAAGAAGATATATTAGAGTTAAATATTTTATAGATAGAAAACTTTTGAGAGATAATGCGTATTAATGTTTTTTTATCAGATGAAACGTTTTGAACCTATTTGAAAAAATAAATTCATAAATTAATATATATATATATATATATATATATATATATATATATATATATATATATATATATATATATTATAAATGTAACGTCCAAAAATTTCACGCCAAATTCAAACTTTTTAAATCACAAATAAAAGTCAAATAGTATTGTATACAAAATGTTTTCAAATCAATATCCATCAGAGTGTCCCAACATCATAACATAAGGATGAGGAGCGGTACGGTCACGCCTTCGCCTTGCCACGATCTCCTGAAGTACCTGAAACAATAAACTGAAAACTGTAAGCCCGAGGGCTTAGTGAGCTACCCTCCAAATACCAATACCACACTGACAATACCATGTCAGCAACAATCAGTCAATCAATCACTCAACATGCATACTGGGCCATCGGCCTGACTGGACCGCCCCACTGGGCCTACAGTCTATCTGAGTCTATCCATGCATACTGGGCCATCGGTCTGACTGGACCGCCCTACCGGGCCTACAGTCTATCAGAATCTATCCCGAGCCTTCAGCATGACTGGTCCGCCTCGTGGGCCTGCAGTCTCCCCGGACCGCTCATAGGGTATGTTGGCCTTCAGCACGAAGCAGGACCGCCTCATCTTAACCAATAAGCAAATAACCAAGTTCGCATAACTATCATATACTGGCACATACAAACATCAAACATATCTGTCATACTGATCATCAACCATAGAATCCTCTCATAACTAGAGTACCGACCTAGCAGGTCACTAACATACCAATCCTTACGGATCATAAAGCATAAAATACTGTCTACCCTGATTCCGATCTAGCAGACCAAACCATGTAGCATACCATAACAATAGCAACTAAAGGGCCTGCCTTGGTGCCGTAGACCCTATCGATATAGTGAGGATAACTCACCTCGCAGATGCCGACTCGAAAGGTAAACTCCAATTCTCGGATCACTTGACACAGGCTCCACCACCTATGACCATAGTACAAAATACTCATAAGTCCTTAAATCTATAAGGTACTTTCATAACCCACCAGTCAACCCCTGGTCAAAGTCAAAGTCCTCAGTCAAGGTCAATAGTCCATGTTGACCCCCAACTCGTCGAGTACCCTTGGCTACTCGCCGAGTTCCTCGAAGCACATTCCACTCGCCGAGTCATCGGGGTGACTCGTTGAGTTCCTTCGATTCCCGTTCAAACTCTAAGGCCACCCGTCGATTTTCCTCCTTACCACTCGACGGGTACACACGCATACATATCCTAGGGAAAACTCATCCGACTCGCCGAGTTGTTCTTCAACTCGTTGAGTCTTATGGTGATCTTCATCGGACTCGCCGAGTTGTTCATCCGACTCGTCGAGTCCACGACCATCTTCATGTGACTCGTCGAGTCAACCTTGCGACTCGCCGAGTCCATTCAACCCTTTTTCCATACAGACTTGTTTTGAGCCATGCAGCGGCTCCAAATCACAGATCCAAGCTTCTTGGGCATGCTTTTCACGTAAAGTTGCAAACTTTACGTGCATGTATAGCTACAAAGGTTCTAAATGTCAAATCTAAGCTCTTAATGGGGC